ATCACTTTTACATTGTACCACCCTTCAGCTCCCTTATTTTTACCTACAGTCTGACAGCCTCATTTCAAACTTTGTACGACCTTAAGATTGTTTGAAAGAGATATTAATCCACAGAGCTACAGGAAACGATGCTGCTGTTTCAATAAGCTAGCCCTTCACAGAAAGACTGCTCAGGAAAACATGCTTTTCTCTGTATTAGGCTACAAACAAATGGAGGAAGCTCTTTGGCAGCTGTAGATACCTTCCATCTTTAACAGGAAGAAATAGGCTTGGCTCTTAATCTTTGAATGGCCTGAATTCTTGTGTACTTTTGGGAAGACTTTCACAGGCAGCAGTTCAATGTCTTTTGTCTGCATACTGAGATCTGGATGGTGGGCCCAGAAAGCAGCTGGAAACATAGACAGGGAGAGAACAGCAGTATGTAGAAGATGAGGTAAGAGTTTAGGTGGATAAATTAAGATTTTTGTATTGTTAAATCACTTTCTCTCCTAGTCCCTTAACCCGGTATAAAAGGAAAAGACGGGACCCAGATGAGCCCGAATTAGGAAAAGTTTGCATAGAGCTTTTTAGGGTCACCTGCAAGAAAGACTCGGGGCCACTGGAATTCGTGTTAGCAGCTTGCTGAAGATCATTGGAGTGGAGCTGGCTGATGAGAGCTATTCCCATGCTGGCTTTTGAAGGGCCAGGGTAGGTTTTCAGAACACATCTTGTGTTGTGTTCTCAGTCGTTAGCATCTATTCCATTAGGGGTTTGTATCACTGTATTTCCCTGCTAGTGCAATGACCGATCTTGAGCAAACATCTCTGCCACTTCTGCTATCTTGACCTCTTCTTATTGCCTCAACATTACAGATTAGGAATAATCTATTTTCATTCCTCTTGCAAGGAAGGAAAGGCTTCAATGCTTATACAACAGCATGGCCAAAGGTGGAGAATTGAACCCAAAGACCAGAGGGCCAAGAACTCTTCAACCTGGTGATTTAAAGGCTTTCCTATTTTGTATTGACAAAGAACCAGCGAAACAGCCTTGTGTGGTTTTAGATGCTAGTGTTCTGTTCTAATGCTCTTTTCAAAAACTTTATCTTTGAAGGTGAAATAGTGATTGGGTGGGTTTCATTCAACTGAGTAAACCTGCATGGAAAGAATATATTCCAGGGAACTTACTAAATTTTTTTTTTTATATGAGTATATTGTTCAGAGAGTATCATATGCTTAGTATTGAGTCCTAAGCTTTAAGATATTTGTAATGTTCAGGTATTTCTGTACGTGTTTTACAGACATCTGCAGAGTGTTTTCATCAGCAATCTCACACACAGAAATAAAAACTGTATGCATTAGGCATTGCCAGGTGTGTATGGGTATCTAAATGGACATATGTATTTGTGTGCGTCTGTAAAATGTGGCTTGTGTGCAGGTATTAAACACATCCTCTCTGGGATTATGCTGTGACTTGTATATTTGGAGGCAAAGGTTCTGAATAAAGAAGGACATATCCAGAATAGAGTGGAATTTACTGCAATTGCTGTGGGTTTTCAAGCAATGGCTGCAGTCAGAATCTGGCCTAAGTAATTAACTTACGAAGGATGGAAAGGAAAAGCAGCATGTGGAAGATGTAATTAATGGGAACATATAACAGTCAGCTCTCACATAATAAATTGGCAGCTATGCCTGAGGTAACTGCCTTTTATTTGCAAAATACAGTTGGAATTTTTTAAAAGTAATTGCACATTTTCTTCCATTTCTACATGGTCCCACAGAACATAGTACAGTACAAATACCAACAGAAATGCAATAAAGTAATGGTTGTTGGTTTGTTGTTTTTTTTCAGGCTTAGGGCTAAGATCTTATTTGAGCCAATGTCCAAAGGAAAGGAGGAATACATTTTAGCTCGGGAAAAAAACAAGTGGTAAAACATTTTAGTGAGGTTTAATATGGAATAATCTAAAAGGACAAGGCAGGAACAACCAGAATAAATAACAGCAAATGGCTAGATATCTATTTGTAGAAGAGATTTAGTAATGTAATTCTCCTGACTCAAGTAAATAGCAGTTAAAATAAACGTTCTGAATTCCTTCTATTTTGAAGGCTTGAATTTTCCCTGTCTGAAAGCTTATTGCAGCTTTTTCTGAATAGCAAGCATGACATCAGTTGTTCTTCAGCTACGCCACAGATGCTGGCAGATTTTCAAGGAAATGCATTCTGCCATTTGCCATGTGCAAAGCTCTGGAAGGCTGCAGGATGACACAATGGCTCCCCACACCCAGCTGCTGATGCAGCTGACACAAACTGCCTGTTGGAAAAACAATGTTGGAGTCCTCCGTCTCAAAAAAAAAAAATTGCAAGAGGAAGGTGAGGAGGACTCGCAACTGGGGTTTGCTGCTGCAACCAAACATACGAGGTACTAGACTTCTTAACTGCCATTTCCAGCCTTCTCAATGAAGTAGAGGAGACTGCATGTCATTCCTCCTGCTACCTGCCATATGTGATTCCCCTCTGCACACGGGTGGGGAGTTAGACTACCCAACCTTTAGTGCTTTGCTTGTCTGTTTGGGTTTTCTTTTGTTTTTAAGCAATCCGTTTGGTGTCACCCCTGATAGTGGGGAGGAAAAAGGAAGTAAAAATCGATTCTATCGTAAGCATGAGGATCTAGCCTATTTTGTCTGTGAGTGAATGGGGATGGGATCTAGTAGTAAAAACCTGGCGTTGGAGTGAGTTCTACTCACAGGAAATCTGATTAGAAGCTTTATTGCTGTTTAAAATGGAACAGCCTGAAGACCAGGAAATATAGTTCTCTGTAAAATCTTCCTGCTGTAACTAGTCTCTGTATTGCTGGCCCCAGGGGATCTTGCATTTGCTGCGGGCTGAGCCTCATAGGCAGTTTGTTGCTGAACTAAGCCCTTTAAATAGACAGCAAGTTGTAAAAGTACGTCCTGCAATTTTTGTGCTGATGAATTTAGAATGATGTTCTAGCAAGCTCAGTACACTCCAAATTAATTAGCAACGATCTTTTTAACGGGCTAATTACTGTATCAGCAAGTGGTAAACTCAAAATGGATGTGAGTAGTCCTGGCTTGCATCAACAGGCAAGAGATGTGTTGCAGTTCTACCAACTGATTCTAAATTCATGCTAGTGTGAAAGGTTTTAAACAGCACAGCTGGTCAGTGGCAGCACTAGCTTTTTTACTTCTAGACTTGATTTAAAATCCCAAATGAAGTTGCATTCATGTCTCCTTATGTCTGCCTCACAATGCCATGGTGAATGGTGATTGGCTTTTTTAATTTCTGCTGGAAAAAGGCCCAAAATAAGAAGAACAGGAGGTGTTGCACATTATTATTAAAGTATAAATGTTAGGGCTATAAAGTATATGAGACTTCCTCCCTTCTTTATGACTGTGCATTTTCTTCTTTCATAATGGAAGGGCCTGATCCTGCTTAGAACAGTAACAGCTTACAAATATAAACACAGGTTCACATGTTTGGGGGTTGGGATTTTTAAATAGGTCAATCTTTCAAAGAATAAATGTCATTGCTTATCAGGTTATGGATAAACAAGCATATGACTGCTGCAGTGGTGATAGAAACACTTTTATTCGTTTCCCAGACCAGATTCTGTCTTTAGATGGTGGAGGCTTTAGAAAATAAGGTTTAATTGGGAGCCTTTAATAAGGGAAGTTACCTTAATTAGATCACTTTATATTTGCTAGATTTTTTTTGTATGCTTTTCTGCACTCTTTTAGAATGGATGCAGAAATTTGTAAAAGCACCTGCTATTTTCTGTGAGAATGTAATTTTTAGGCAGACTTTCAAAAATCACTTATCTTACTTTCAGCTTCTATAAGATAAGCCCAGTTTGGTTTGGGGAGAAATTAATCAGGCCCTATGTTGTTCACTCCAAAGGTCAAAGTAGTAAATGAATAATTATTAGCCATTTCTTAAAAATGGATCTTGACACTCAACAGACCAGACAATCTCTCGAGTTATTTCATGTGGCCTTGTGATGCTTTATAAAATGTGAGGCACAAGCCTGAATATTTTTGTCTAGATTGTCCTGTCAAACTTGAGCAGTGCCTTTTCTTTCCAGTTAATTGTATGCCTGAGACATTTAAAAAAAAACTTGTCTCAACTGCAAGCACAATGAAACCAGGAAAAAATAAAAAGTCTACAAATATTTTGGGGTTTTTTTTTGGTGTGTGTTACAACTGGTAGAAATAGGAAGGCAAGCACCGCTGTAGAAAGTGCCTGTGACAAATGCAGTTGTCTGCTAATGATCTGTGGGGCTGCTTTTTTTTTTATTTTATTTTATTATTATTTGTAAGGTTTGGGTTATTCAGACCATGCAGGTCCTAAGAGACAGTTTTGTTTATTCTGTTTCATGGTGTTGCATAGTTTTTTACTGAATCCAGCCAAGGATGAGGTAACATTTGAAGAAGATTTTCTTAAATTTCTTGAATGAACAATGTTTTGATGTCACAGTAACAGTAGAAATCTGTCATCCTCCTTCACCTGCATGTCTGAACACTTATTGCTGTTGAAGTTGCTTCCATACACAGTGAACATAATGTTCATCACACTCTAACTATAGCCTGACCATTGAAGTCGGTCTATGGTAGAGCTAAATGCTTTGGTACTTCCCTTAACGGACAGGCTTGTCCTTCTATTTGAATACATGCGAGTACATATGTTAGCACAGTGCCACCAAAGGTAATAACCAACTTCGTCAGTGTGCCAAACCTTTCTTGCTACTACAAACTATGGCTACAAAATCCCTGTGGATAATATAATAGGGAACTAGTCAAAACCCAACATACAAATGGATACAAAAGTGTCCCATTTCTATGACTTTGCTTCAGAAACTTCCCCTACAACTTAGGAGAAATTATTGATCTCTTAGTGGAAGTGATGACTTGGGTCTCACTCAAGGTGTATTTGATCATAGAAATAGGCTAAACCCTTCTGAAGAAGCTGTGGGAAATGCAACTTCTTTCAAGTCAGTAACTGTGCTCACTGATCTTCTGATGGAGCTTGGGATTCCTCTTTTGGAGGAAAAGCAACAAACTCTTCTTTCATTTCAGTATCTTGGTCAGCAGTAGCATGAGTACTAGCTTCATAAGGCTCGCATGGGCAACAGCTGACTTCTCCTTTCCTGCTCTTCTGTAGAATGGTAGCACGAAAGTCTAACGTTATCACTGCCAAACGATACAGTTGTAGAGTCACAACTAAGATGTTCTTAGCTGTAAAAAACACCAGCATCTGATTGAATATTCTGAAGTGGCCCATCAGGATTGAACGCACAATGAAGAAGGGCCCATCCTGTATGAAAAGGCTAACCCCAATGTTCCACAGTTCCGCGCTGTACCTGCACAGCAGCAGGCTGGGGATCCGTCTAGTTGACGCAGTTGGTTTGCAGCCAATATGCTGTACTGGAAATAAAACACACTTATGTTAAAACAACTCTCTCAAATTGAGTCAGGATTGGCCTAAAGGGCAGTTACAAGCCAGGGTACCCTGGATTAGAAATGCATTCAACTGTGAACAATTCAACATAAAGCATATCCCATTTCTGGGATCGGGTTCAGCCAAACATGCGAAGCTTATGTTAAGCAGGCACTTACGTGGTCCGGCCAACAGGACTAAAAACCACTTCCCCTTTTCTTTCCCACAAAGCCATGCGTATCTATACACTTCTAAAACAAGAAGCAGAAGTAGATCACCTAATCTTTCTGTAACGACTTCCCCAGACGCTTTTCTGTTAAATTGACATGCTCGACTAATATGTATCCTTAAGAAAAAACCCTACCATGCTGAATGGGAACAGACTGAGCTGTAGCACTTCCATTTGTTGCGGGCTGTCTAAGACCTTGCTTTTAAAAGACTCACCAGATAGCCATTGCCTTTTTCATGTGTCATAGTAAGAATAAGTCATGTCTGTGCAGGGTAATATGGATAGGAAGGAGCTGTGGTCTCTGCTTGCCGTGTGAGACTTGAGACACAGTTACTTGTTCTTAGCCTTCTGAGTATGAAACTTTTGGAACTTGCATGGGTGTGTTCCCCTTGGCTATAAAAGTGGTGGTGGGTTAAAATGCTCTTTGTGGCATGATGTCTAGCGAAGGATCATCATAAGGGGGTGTGTGTGGTAAATATGGCTGCCTCTTGTGAAAATGCATGTAGCTTAACTAACCTGTCTATCAGGCAGTGGGATGTTACTAGTTTAGAAAACATAGCTACTTGTGATGCAGTAACAACCACCAAACATTTCAGCTTACCAAAAGAATTCTATTGTTTGAGTAAATGCTGGGGGGCGGGGGGGAAATGAGACTCTAGTGGAAAATTAGTTGTAGAATGTAGAAATTTGCTAAATCCATTAGGCAAAGCTTCAGCAACAGCTAATTTTTTAACGTTTTTGTGCCATTGCTGTTTAATAGTTCTAACTGCATTGCTGTAGTCCAATAATAAGTGCCTATAAATCCCTATTTTACATCATGTTTGATGTGTGAGTAAGCTTACTGATGCTTGAACAAAAAGTACTATTTGTGTGACTGTATAGAACTACCTAAAACAGTACCCATAGTAAATTTCATGGCAATGTGTGTTCAATAACTTAATTTTTAACTGGTAAATGCAATTAAATAAGCAGAAAAGCAATAGCCAGAGAAAAAAAAATGCATAGTACAACAGGTTATTTCATTTAAGTTCAAACAGTGCTTGAACAATCATAGCATTAATTTATTTGGGTAGTGGTGATGTGTATGAGTGGTTTGGGGTTTCTGTTTGTTTGCTTGAAATCTTAGTTTAAATACATTCTTTAACAGAATGTATTTTACCATTAACAGGAATTTTAGCTATGATAAATCTGAAATGCAGTGGCATCATTTTTTCCTCAGGAGGTGAGCTGCTGAGCTGAAATGTTTTCATAACTTCAGTGTTGAAAACAAAGCCCAGTGCTGTCCGTGGAGAAAGGGCTAATGAAAAATTCCTGGAATCACTTTTCATTATTATTTTATTCATTTATTATTTTAATCACTGTGTCAACCTAGTCATCAATTTTATATAAGGTGCTAGTGAGGTTAATGTACCTTTGGACTGGTAAAGTTGCATTGCAAACTTGTAGTGACTGGAGGCCGAAATGGTGGGAACAGATGATGATTGAAGGGACTTTCACTATTCTTTTTGGATATAAAGAAGCCCTTTCTGCCTACGGACAAACACCAGCCTGAGCTGGCTGAGTGTTGGGCCTTTAGTTTAAGATAAGGGTGCACAGTCCCAACATTATATGGTCCTCTAGGTTCCATGTGAATAGGTAATTTCTCCTGTCATAACCACTTCTGTACTCTTGGCTGTGGTGTCCCCTGTGGTTAACATCTACTAACCTACCCAGATTGGAGCCATAATATAATTCAAGACCAGATCTAACTCGAGAGCTCACATAGTGTAGTTTAAGGCAGTAACAGGCAACTGGAGCAGGTGCTCCAATACAATATTGAAATTCTATTTTTTTTTCTGGAAGTAGAGAATTTTATCAGGGACATCAGAGGTTAACCAGAAACAAGTGTTTCCTCAAAAGAAACCACAATGGGCTTTCTTCAAAACCCATCATTGTCATATGAATTGCTCTCCATCAGAAGCCCTTGGTATAGCCTGTAGCGTGTACACAGCCACAAGACATGCCAGAAAAAACTTAAAAAAAATTTGCTCTCTTTTATTGTCTTTGTGCAAGTACTAACCTGCAAGATCAAGTGGAAATTGTAGCATACTCCAGGTCCATACAGCAAGAATTGCATTTATGAGAGCATAATTCTTCCTATGGGAGGGGAAAAAAGTGATAACAGTGAAGATGCAGTTTCCTTATGTGATAGCAAAAATGTTTCCTGTAGTATTTGGAATGTCATTTAAAAGGTGGTTGAGTGAAACAGTGATTGATTAAGGCATGCTCTTGAGATGTAAGATTTAGGAAAACAGAGGCACCTCTTGGTATAGAATTTTTGCTGTTCAGGCCACATATTCCAGGTGTGGAATTACACTAAATATCTGATGCTAACATTATAATGATAAGCATATGGAAATAGAATCTGTGGCTCAAAGAGGAGATTCTTTACCCTCGTAGTGATTACACATTCCTTGCAAGCCTGAAGCTTCTCTGCCGAGTGGGAAGGACCTCTTTTCCTGCTGCAAAAGCTTTTCTTTGATATTTAAAAAAAATAAAAATAGTATGTCTGTAAGGGAGGATGAACCTCTTCTGTGATTCTTTTTCTTTATGATGGATGTTCACAGCTCATCCCTCAGTGCTGTGAGGGGGAGATGGGTTTATTTTCTCTGGCAGAGATTGCAATGTTGAAAAGTCACGCCAGACTATGCCATTCCTTCTTCTTATCTTTGAACACTTTGTCATTCTATCCTAAGAAAGTACATATGAGATAACCAAAGAAGAAACTTGGATAATGAATCACTTAAGCAAACTCTAGTTGCATCCTTGCTAGTCTAAAACAATTCATTAACCTGAAAGGGGCTTACTGTGTACCCAGCTTTTCAGCTCCTGTAGCTGTAAGAACTGATGCTGCATGGCAGTTGTTGTTTGGCTCTTTGTACCCTTTTATTGTGATGGATGCAATCACTTCTCTGCTAGGAACAGATGAGTAATCCCTAACAAAGCTCACAGGACAGTTAGGTCTTCTACAGAGGGATAGGTAAGAGTAGGAAAACAGCCCTTGAACATAGCCTGCTGTTATCTGTGGGAAAGACAGTTTCACTAGTCTGAATACTGTAGATCGCACAAATAAATCTTCAAGCTAAACAAATATCTTGCACTATGCAAATTATTTATGTCAGCAAATAGCCCTTACCGAACATCTTCGATGTCCAAGGTTTCGCTAGCAAATTCAAGTATATCTGCTGCTGTTCCCACAAACATGAGAAGCAGCTGAGACAATTGATCCCGGGTGATTTCAACTCCAATTGGGAGAAGCCATCTCCCAACTACTAGAAGCAGTAGAAAAGTCTGGTGGAGGGCCAGTGTCCATACAGTCTCACAGATTGTGGAGAGCTGATTCACAAAGACTTTAGCCTGTTTAAGACAACAACAATAACATACTGTAACTTCAGGAGACTGACTTTATATGTACCTTCAGAGACTGTGTTCGTCCTTGAACCTGCTTTTGTTCTCCTTCACATTGTATTAGAGCAAATCATTTCTATGTGGCAGGCAGAATTTGAAAAAGGCACATTAATCCAAACTTCAGGTAATGAATAGCAAGTCTTTCTGTGTCTACTACTCCTCCTGTTCTCATATTTCAGCTGAGCATTATCCTTTGCAGAACCATCATCCAGACACTTTCTAAATTCAGTTACTGAGATTTGGAAGAGAATGGTAGGACAGTCTCCTCTTCACATGGAGACTTTTCCTGCCAACAATATTATGCAGCACGCTGTTGGCCACTTCCACAATATGATTTTCTGAAACTGGTTTTTTTTTTTTTTTTTTTTAGTTTTAATCACTGTGTGAGGAGTTTGCCCAAATAGACACAACAGTACTCTCTAATATCATAAGATCTCTATCATAAAATCTCTACTATGAATAGGAAAAGGTGTCCCACCGTCTGAATGATGTGGTGATCTGTTCCCTCACTTCCATGACTGCTGTCTCTGGATTGATTGAAGTCTTGGTTGCTGACGTTCACCTGAACTGCTCCAGGATCATTACCACAGTACTATTGTGAACAAAAACATCACATGCATAAACATCCCGCACAGGGAGCAGCTGCACTCTGTGGCTGAAAGAATCCTGTTTTGCTGAACTGCAGAGGGTTTATTTGTGAAAGTCAGTTGATGTTTGCAAAGGTACATGCTTACTCTGAATGAAATTCCCCTCTTGTTCAGAAGGGAGGAATGCCTCTCATGAGGAGAGGAGTGATGTTGGTAGGTGTCTGAGTAGGGTTGTTCCATAGAAAAGGATGTAAATTCAAAGGCTGATGCAGCAGGTGACACCTTTGTGCTGTGAAGGCTGCACTCTTTGAATACGATCTGCCTGCAGCTCTTCTCAACAGGCTACTGCATTTCCTATATAGTCTCTCTGGCTAAAACAGTAAAATAGGGTAAAAATTCGTCATGGTCAGTCTGCTGTTTTATGTTTGTGGTCAGTCTCTATATTCAAACTTTTCTCAAAATATCTGCTTCTTATCTGTACTATCCAGGAAAAGTTCTTTAAAAAATGCCATTGTTTCATTCTTCTGTATGACTTCCCTCAAGGCTGAAATGAAGAGTTGGGGTAGGATGTTTGGGTTGTATTCTCTGTTCCTCCTGTCCCCGCTTCCCCCCAGCTGTGCCTTATTCTGCAAGGAAATTCATAATGTGAGAAGTGAGATTCAGGAATAAAAATAGGCCTGTGTTTTTGCCTCCCCCCGCAGAGCAGAAAAACTTTCTCCAAGTACCCATGGTTCTGGGAGATCGAATGTTGGTTAAAACATAGTTACTTCAACTGCAGCAAACCAGTGGTGGGACTGTGTCCTGTCTGAGGTCTGCAGCACTGCCCTGCCCTGCCCTTCTACCTTCACCCCTAAGGCTGGCCCCAGAGTAAGTGGGGTATGGTTCTAAATTCTATCTCGTAACAATCCCTTAACATCTCTCTTCATTGTAATAAAAAAGGGATAATTAGAAAATCAAACCCTGCTGTTATTAAGGACTTCTATCCTGTCCTATTTGTGCCAGAGAACACCAGATGATTTGCATTTCTCCACTGGGCCCCCCACCATTTTATTTCACAGGGAGTGATTTTCTGCAACAATCGGAATGTGTTCTAGTGCATACTGAGTAGCTGTGTTCAGCGTAATGCCTGCCAATATAAAGGCAACATTTTCCAGCAAATGTCACATTCTAGCAAATTTCAGATTCTACTTTATCAGAGACCAAGTAAAGTATCAATGTTGCTCAGTATCTGGGTAAATGCCTCTTGCCTGACCTTGTTGTAGATAAATGGAGCAACTTCCCGTGGTCTGAAAAATCTGGAAAAAAGTCAGTTCTTGTTGCTTTTATAATCGGTGGTAAAGGCTCCTAAACTTGAATGCTTGTCTTATTTGGACTGTGGGTGTGAGAGCGCTGAAAGATTGACACACAGATGTGGGGAAGATGATCTTTCCATTTGGAGAAGGGAAGTCTGAAGTTCTGGCCGTGGAGACAGTGAGACTGAGGGGCTGGTACTCTGCCGGCTACAGGCTCATCTCCCTGGGTTAGCCCTTCAACCAAAGGACAAATGCAGAACAGCTTGTTCAGAGGATGTTTCAGAAATGAAATTTAACGGGTGCTCTGAAGGAGCCTTTTTATCTTTTTGTAGTAGAAAAAGTGTCAAGCCTATGGAGACCAGCCCCCAAGGTCAAAGTCAGCCTTTCTGAGTAACCCCCACGGGCAGTGTGACGCAGCTGGCTGAGGAGACCATGACCTAAAAAGACGCTTCCATGTGGCTTGCATGGAGGCTCTTTCCCCCCTGCCCAGTGGCACAAAGGTTCAGAGAATACTTCTTTAAAAAAATTTAATTAACTTTAGCAGTGTCTTTTGTAGGTTCCTTATATGTAATTTTTGCAACTACTCGCAGCTGAAGGGGGGGTTACTATTTCAACGCGAGGCTGCACAAACTCTGACTGAAGGGCACTCCTTGGGGCCGGGTCCGTATCTCTTCTCAGCTGCTTGCAGGGAGGAAATGGAAAACTGCGTCTGCAATGACAGTCATTTAAGTAGACTCCTGATTTTTAATTCAAGTATGTTCATATCTTGTTTTGGTTTATTTCTCTCTGAATATTTATTAAGTGGTGGTTGTGGTGGTGATTCACTTGAAAGTTTGGAGAAGAGCCTTTATTTTCAGCATGTATATGCATGTAAATAGGACTGTTGGTGCCAGGCATATTTGCCTAGCCAATTATGTATGTGCAGTGACTTAATGAGAATGTGACAAGGAAAAAGTGAATACTAAGTTTCACAGGCAGTTGATAAACATGATTTACCTCTTTACTGCTAGGGCTCAGTTACCGCTAGGTACTGAGGCTATGCACATAGCTAAACAAAAATGCCTTTTTTTTTTTCTGTGCAAAAATAAAACAGGAAGAAATTGTACACATTTTGCATAAATTCTAGCTTGGTTTACTTCCTTTGTTTCTTCTGAGATGAAGCTTACATTCCTCTGATTTATAAAACATCTAATCAAAACAGAAAGTGTGTTGCATGACACGGTGCTGTCCCGTTGCGTGTCCTGCAGAGAGCTTACTGTCAGTGCGTGGGGAACTCCTGAAACACTGAACTAATTCAGCAAATTTCTGTTTGCATGTTATTCACAATCCATTATTCCCAAATTAAAAAAAAAAAAAAAAAAAAAGAGGTTAGCTAAAACTTTTCACAGTGGGTCCAGCATTGAGATGGTAAAACTGACACTTGAATTGACACCAGGGCAGAGTACCCTCAATCCTGTTAAGGCGCGTGGAGGCCGGCAGCCTGAGTACCTGGTGGAAGAGACCAGCCCTTTCCCAGAGCGGGCCCTCTGCCAAGCTACAGGTACCCAGCTTGCTCTCTGCCATTCCAGCCTTTCTTGCTGGAAACAGTGTTGCTGTCCCTATAGCAACACGTGTGATGTCTGAAATTCAAAGCAACCATGACTGCTTCATTTTCCTCATGTAGGAAAGCTGAAACGTAAAACAGGGAGAAAAGATTGTTTCAGCCGTTTTCCAGTTTGAGGAAGATAACAGGTATGGGAGGGAAGAAATGGTGAAAGATGTAAGATCGCTTTTAGAAGAATTTTAGCTGGTGAAAGCATTCCACCTCAGAATAAGGCTGAGGGAATGGCCAGTAATATTGACTATTTCCTTAAAATGTTCAAGTTAAGCTGGTTAAAAATAATTACAAGGCTTACTAAGTATCCATTTTATTACTGACTGGGAAGCCTACATCAACTACAGTACTGGTAGTCAAATAAGCCCTGCAAAAGGTGGTCAGTTATCGCTTTCTGTGGCAGCGATGCATCAGTCGTTTTAAAAGATAACAGAGGTATTTTTTTTTACCTGAGATCTCACACATTATGAAGAAAGAATGTTTGGGTTTTTTAATGGATTAAATGGTTTTAATTTTCTTGCCGCTCTGTTTTGCAGACGGCAATTTTTTCACTCATTACGGTTCAATTTACTTTATACTCTCTCCCAAATGTGTTTTGTCCACAATACTTTACTGCAAAGCAGCACTTTCTATGCAGTCAGTATTTCACTGTTGATATATGAATGGTATTACTCATGTCCAGTTTTGCAGTACACAGGGACAGAATTGCCTCTGTCTTCGGGAGGAGAGACTGCATATTAGCACGTGCCTTAAATAACAGCACTGACACAAGCAGTTGATGTTTCCTGTTAAAGATTCAATACAAGACCGAAGTTCTACTGCCTTAAAGACCACAGACTGTTTTCATGGTGTATATATTAAATGTGTGGATCTAGCAACTCCATGATTACCCATTCTGTTAGTATTTTAATAAGGAAAATCCCAGCAATACTTTGATATGAGAAGTAGTACTAGTCTGGGTGCTGTGGTTGAGATTAATTGTTACGAGGGCTGCTCCGCTTCTGGAGGTATTGTTTTTGAATCTATTAGGTTGTGTGTTTCCAGAACTCTCTGTCCTATCTCTCTAGGTATAAAGTAAGCTGTTAACTTGATATACTCCCTCTTTAATTCACAGTAGCAGTATATCAATAAGAACAAAGTATGCCATGTTCTAACATCATTTTGGGAAATAAACTGCTGCCTTTGACTACAGAATTAGCCTGTTTCTTGGACCAGATTTAACTATGACAAATGTTCTCAATATCCACATTACCTGTCTGTGACTGTTTAAGGAGATTTGGCAAAACAAGAAGACAATAAATTACAGCTGCTGTATTTAGAAAAAGCCTCAGGCATTTTCAGTGTAAACACAATTTTGAATATTTGATTATGCTTCTGCGGGCTCTAACAATGTTTCAAAGGAGAAAATGAGGCACTATGTCTTCTTAGTCTAATTTATGTATTTTATTGTGTTGCCTCTTGCTCTTTTTTGTATCGGGCCCTTTTCTGCTGTGGATGTAAGGTACTGCATATGTGCAAATGCTGGGACAGACAAAATCCCCTCTTCATTATGTGGAAGTGCTGTGGGGACTTGAAAGCAGCCCACATGGGGAGGTGGTTCACTCAACATGGGCTGCTGGGCTAAGTGGCTCTGTCCTGGTTCTGACTGGCTCCATCTGCCAAAAGAACAATTGTGTTTAAAAATTTTACTGTGTGTTTTAGTCTGAATTGAAATACGGACCCTCCTCCTCACAGGTTACTATACAGCGTGAACAAAGAAAGGATATAAACACTGATAGACAAATTACCATTCAGCTATCTGTGGTAGCGATCTGTGACTGTTCTCCTAGGTTGCAGCACACAAGAAGTAATTTGAGTTGAAGACCCCTTTCACTGATAACTGTCTCAATTTTGGCTTGCTTGGAGTTGTGATATCCACCTGTAAGTGCTGTGAGACTCATACTTTATTTTAGAAAGGCCTCTAAAGCAATGAAATTCTTTCACTGTCCTGAGCAAAATTCAAACTGGTACCCTGGGGGTGAAAAGCTGTTTTTCAAATTTCTAGTCCTTGGTTCCCCAGCCAAATACAAATAAATTATCTCCTTTTTAGCTAGGAATGGCGTTCATTATTTGATAATTTAGGAAATGCACAGTAGTGTATAGTAGTATAGCTGTAGTTGGATTGGGAGACCTACCAGTATAAAACAGAAAATTGGAACATAACCTGGCAGACTTCTGTGTGTGTGCTCAAATCCAACCCATCAAACAATGCATCAATTTTAAACTAGCCTGTCTTGTCTCATAATAAATACCTGAGTCCCATGATGAATTTCTAGTAGCCACAGTGATGGTACCGTGCAAATCAGATATAAAAATATTGCTGGTGAAAACCTGTGAAGAAAAAGAGAAGATAGCTTGGTATTATATCATATTGTAAATACCACGTAGCCTATCATTATCTGCATTGAAAGTATCTTGTGCCTCCTACCATATGGGATATTAAGAAATAGGGTAACTGCAAATAAGAGTTGCTATTCTTGCTGAATTCCTCATGCTGTCAGTATTATGAGTCATAGGTTTACTTGTACATCCATCTAAGATCATATATGGAAGTTTATGTAAAATATCTTTTTAAGAATTAACCAAAGGCACTTTGCTGTTTGTATTTCCATCACAGCATTCTCTGTACTTAAAATAAAAAAAAAGCCTCTAGCTAACATGGCCTTTCTGATTTCATGAAGGGTGAATTAATACGTTGAGTCATTTCACTGAGTGATGCTGGGATAAAGGCTGTTGATCAGAATCCTGTGCATTGACACAGGAAAGGCAGAAATAGCATTAGTTTGCCAAATACAAGCGTTTCTTCAGTATGAGGTCTTTCAGTGCAGGCTAAAATGGTTTATGAAAATGGGTTTTGGCCTTGTTTTTCCATTTGTGCTGGCAATTGTGTAATTCTTTAGGATTTCTGTCTCTAGTTCTTCTCTCCCTGTCAGTCTTCTATATAACTTAGGATGGTGAAGCTTTATTACCTTCATCTTCTTAAGCTGAGTTTAAAGTACTAGAGAGGCTTCATTACTCCTTCTCAAACATTATTCTTGTGACGGTTGCTGATGTTTTCTCATTAAACATGTGACAGTTTTTTGTTTGGGGTGGGTTTTTTGGCAATTCTTGTCTTTTTGGAGTAGGAATGAGGTCTGATGCCACTAACGCTCCAGCTGGCTCTGCCATAGTATGGAGTGAGCATCACTGCAATGCTGCGGAGATGCACAGCAGCCTTTGCATCCCATGTATGTACTGGCCCAGAACAGAGCAGTGGAGTCAAACTCGAGATACTTGCTTGATTCCTTCTGTCCTGTCATTGGCGTGTTCTGCAGTTAATTTAAATTGCTTATAAATATGTAACTGCAGCAAAGTTTTGGTCAACTGTTGTTGCATTTGTTATTTGTTCCTGAATGTACCTTTTTTTTGGTAATCATTACTTTCCCAGTGGAGATTAAGTATTGAGGAAAAGAAAAACCCTGCTCAGGAAAATGACTGGGTTGCTGAGCTGCTATGACATGTTTCAATCAATCCGCTCTAAATAAGATCATCCTCACTTCTGGTTTTTGTTTGTTTGTCTTTTGGGGTGAGGAGGTGTAGTTGTTTGTTTTGGCGGGGGGGTGTGTGTTGTTTTTTGCCTTTTTTTTTTTAAAAAAAAAAAAAAGGTAGTGATTCTGTGAGGTTTTAGCCTGGTTATTTTGGGAGAGAACACACCTTGCACTTGCCTGGGAGAACTAACATACTTCACAGTATTTCCTGTAGGACTTGAGCACATGAAAAATCCATCCAGCTGGCAGATTAGCAGTACTGAGCTAATGATACCAGATCAGGCCAGGAGACTTCAGGGGCTTTAACCCTGCCTTTCTTTCAGTAGGAGTAATCTCGAGGAAATACTACGTGGCCAGGCCCACATGTGCCATTTAATTTTTTTGTGCTGGTATAATAAGCAAGTCATCTGTAAATATGGAATGCAGAGAATATGAGGCTCTTGGAGGCAGGAGAGTCCTGTGGCACAGACTGTCCATTGCCTGCATTGGTGATTGTCCATGGAGTTGTTTCTATAGATGCAGATGATACTGCCTGTTCTGAACGTGAGTGTTTTCCACCAGAGCAGAAAGTTATCCTGATGCAAATAGATGCTGGCCATGTGTCTACACTTCTTACCTGTAAACACACTTTACTGTGCTACTTAAAGTGCTGGACATCCATTTTCAAAATCTTCTTCTAGCTAAATTTAGCTCACCAGCACATATATTGACCTAAAATGGATCTGCTTTCTGTATCTATTTTTCTTTGGATTTTCCAAAAACTGCCATAGCAAGTGTTCCTTCGTGAAGTCTCTGCTGCTGCCTCCTCCCCTGCTCACTCTGCCTCATTACTGTGCATTTGGAGCTCCCCGTTGTTAAATTTTCCTGTGTCCCAGACTTTGTTGCTGCTTTTATTACATTCAAATTTAGAGCATGGAACACTTGGGTGAATCGTCACACAACACTGCTTCTGTTGTTATAATGAGTTTTGCAGGTTGCAATGGACAGGAATTTAACATCATTGAAATACTTTTGGGCTATTTTTGGTCTTGGATTTGTCCCAGACCTGCCTGCAGTTTGAGCTTTTAAAAATAAAAGGTCCTAGTAAAATCTTGACAATTAGTTACATGACCACTTTTTACAGAGCATTTATTTTGGCTGACTGAGCGCTGATGAGCTGTAGATGACTGCAGTAACTCTTTAGATGCGTGTAATAAAAACCCATGTGCTTGGGCAAACTCTGCTATGACTAACTTTTTTTGTTTATTTCTCAGCAGCCTTTCATGCATGAAAATTCCCCTCTGGAATAGCCTCTCAAATCCAAATATTTAAGCCACTCTTGCTGTATTGCAAGAGTGGTTGCTGCTCATCTTTTATTTGTCACCGAGTTTTGGTTCATGCGTTAGCCTGGCCTTAGCACTGGTACAAGGGGCAGGGACAGGGAATGCAGTCCCTGGGAAGGGGGTGCCAACCAGAGCATGACAGGATGGGGTAAGAGATGCAGGGCATCTGCATGGGATAGCCTGTGTGGGCCCCCCAGCACCCTTCTGCGCTTCACACGTGTTGTCCCCGACGTGCTGTTGCTTCAGAGGTGCCCAGCGACACTGTGAGGGAGCGCGTGCCCCTTCTTCCCCAGCCCCATGGGTCCGTAGCTCTACAGCAACTACCTCTTCCCTGCAGCTGCATTTCCCGCACTTTTCAGCTGTTAGTATGGATATACACACACAGAGCGTGGCTCCCAAGTAGTCTGCTTCAAAGCTGCCCCTCCTGAAAGCCCTCTGGATTTGGCAATGGACTAGCCAGGGCTTTACCAGTTTCCCACCCGCCAGCCCCAGGTGCAGCAGGGGAGCAGATGCAGCCCCCGAGAGCCTGGCAGAAACCGAGCCGGGGCAACGCTGCTATCGGGCAGCAGCCGCAGAAGGCGGCCCCGCATCTGCGGCAAAGTACATGCAAAGAAGCAAGAGGGGCTCCGTCGGAGCCGATGGGATATGCTCACCATTTGTAGCCTCTGCCTTGCTTAAACTTGAGGGTGAGCCCTGTCTCCAGGCACAGGAGAAGATTGAGCAGTGCCAGCAGCCAGTACTTGGGTTCTTTCTTCGCTGCAGTCACTCTCCAGACCCCGATGAGAGAGTGCAACACAAAGAGCAGGCGAGTAACCAGAGCATTGAGCAGCACCATCAGCTCCATCCCGGACAAGCCTCCCTCCCCTTTGCCCCGCACCGCAGGGGCCCAGCGCTTTTCAGGAGCCCTGGGAAGGTACCCTGGGAATCAACCGGGAAGCGTGCACACCACAGGCGCACAGATCTCTTCTCTTCTTCCATCTCCACAAAGGGGCCCATTATAACAAAAAAGAAACGGCATTGCCCCTCCCCCAGACTTCCTGAAAACTTTTTAAAGGGAAGAAAAAAAAAAAGCTCAGGCTCCCAGGCTGGAGTGGTTTGCAGTGCTCAGTGCGGCTCTGCCCACGCCAAGGCAGGGGCGTGAAGGGTTTCTTTCTGTCCACTCTCCAGCATCTGCTCAAGGACTAAACGGCAGGGAAGTTTCTATCTCAGACAGTTACCATCTCCCTCTGCGCCCCGCTTGCTGCTCTCATCTTGTAGACTTCTAGCAAAGAGACAAAATGTAAGAAGCATTGTTAATTTGAACGTTCCTTGCTAAAAGCTCCACTGAAACTGCAAAAGCCTCTTTCCTCTCCCCTCCCCCTGAAAGACATAATTCAGATTTGGGAGTTTTTAAAATTGTTCATTTAACACTGCAACACAGAAAGCAGAAACTGTGTACTTAATTTGATATTTCAATCCCTGTGTGTAACAGGGTTTAAAAAGCAACAGAAATTAGAAACACTAACCAGTACTGAAATTTAGTCAAACTACTAAGCAGCAGCCCTAGCGAGGAACTCCAGAAATCAGTCTGAAATCTGGGCTAACACTAACGTTACTTAATAGGCCAATAGGGACATATACAAAAAATACACAGAAGTTTGACTGTTAGGTCAGTTACCTTTAGATTGACCTTTATCCTCCATAAGAACAGTTTATAATGTACGGAGTATGTTTAAAAATTGCTTTGATGTTTTTCATAGTGATTAGAAAAATTTGAATTTACACTTGGGTGACCAAAGAGAAATTTCTTCTTGATCAAAACTGTCACTGTGTTGCTCCAGTTTTGTGTTCATTTACTGCCAAAGCACTTAAATTGAGATGCACCATTGTAAAATAAAATAGAGAATCAAGTCCATGTAACCTACTGTGGCACTCCTAACTTCCTAGCTGACTTAATTTTAAGTATCCTGTTCTACTTTAAATGCAAGGAAATATTCTTCTAACAGTTGTGACCTTTGTAAGAAGATATTTTTCCTCAATTGCTAAGATCCAAGTTTTCCTCGCTGCGAAACCAAGCCTCTTTCTCTGTGAACTGCTGAAGCCGGTGCTGGCAAGCTGATATCCTCAGGGGTGGGGGAAGATGGGGGAGAAGACTACTTAAAAATAACCCTGCCCAGAGAAAAAGAAAAACAAAAGGCATTCCACAGTATAGATCTCTCACTCAGGAAATGCCTGAGTAAATAAATGGACTGTGCAGCATGCCTTTTTGAAGCAACAAAATGAAGTTCCTCACGCTCAGAGGAAAATTAATTCAAGTCAAGGGCCTACCACTGATAATCCCTTGCCAACAGCCACCCTGCCATATCGGGACTTCAGTGCTGTTGGTTCACAGCCCTTCCGTTGGTATTAAGGTCAAACCTAGTTGAAGAGGAAACAGGGAACAGACAGAAAGGAGAGATTGTTTAAACAAGATACTCCTCTGTGATAGTGCTTGATGTCTAAGAAATGACATGGAGGAACTGGCATGTCTAATTGTTCATGGAGATCCTAACAGTGCAGACGTCATAAACTTGGAAAGATGGTGATCAGTGGGACATTCTCATGATATCATGCATTCAGGAAGGATGCAGTGAGCTTTGCTGATAGCTGGTAGTTCTGGATATTAAAGACACTTTGGAGCTGAACTGCTTCACAAAGTAACCTTGTCAATGGACAATTCATATTTCACATTGGTGGAAGACCCAAACTTAAGCAGGAAGAATATATAATGTTGACTCTGCCTATCTGACCAGTAGACCATGATGGCAGCACAACAGGCTGAGTAGAAGGAGGAAGTAGGTGTGGATGACTTCAGTTATTCAGTCTAGAAGAGGCAAAAAAATTGCATTTTGTGGAGTAGCTGGTTCGGGAGTCCATGAGGGCAATGCTTCACTTTAATCCTGCGTGTTTTACACGATATAATGTAGAGAGTAACAGCTGAGGAGCTCCCCTGAAATGGGGATCTTCTGTACTTAGACTCAGCATCCACACAGGAGTAAGACACGGCAGAGTTCTTCATTGCTGTGCTCAGCTTCAAAAAGGAGAATTAGACACAGATCAGGAAGCTTGTTGAAAGTAAAACAGATGGAAGACCTGACTCTTTGCAGGGAGTATGGACACTGCTTCAGTAAATCACATGGTAAGTGCAGAGAAAATAACTTTCTCAAGAAAAACTTGAGAAATAGTGAAAAGAAGCCAGCATTGGCAGGGTAAGTGAGATCGCAGGAGCGAGAAGGCATCCTTCAAAAAGCTGAAGCTGTGTCCAGATGAAGAAAACTGAAAAGATGATAAACTCTGGCAAGTCAAATGTACAAATATGGTAAAGCTGGCTGAAGGAGTGTGAGGAACAATAGGCAAAAAACTTAACTAAAATGTCTGTTATCTGCTCAAACACATCGTGAACAGGAAGTCTGCCAGGGAATCGTTGGGTCAGTAGATGGTCAGGTGGCACAAAAGTCCTCGGGGTGAGAAGGCTGTGCAGGAGGAGCCAATGAACTCCTTGGAGTCCCAGCATGAGTACAGATGTACAATGTAGCACGGGACAGCACTGACTACTGCACAAAAGCTTATAGAATTAGTGGGGGCTTTCCTTTTGACGTTATACGTGCTAGTGTTCCACTGATTCCATTCTTTTCATAGGTTCTTCTAATTTGCAACTTCCAGTAGTTAGGCTAATGGATCACAGGCTAGGGAGTAC